TCGATAAGATTGGCATAAATCGATACACATAAATTGAATTAGAATTGAATACTTGACTTATCGAATTATTTCGAAACACTCTGCTTTTTGAAATAATAATTATTTTAGCTGTTAAAAAAGTAAAAACTAAATTCTTTCTCTATACATTTTCAATCGTTTATCGTTTAAACGTCATAACGTCATTTAATCGTCTATTTGAGAAAAAAATATTAAATTCCTGTTCTTGTTTATTTCGCGCAGTTAATTGACGTTGTTTAAAAGCGCTTTGTATATTTTATAATGTATCACGTGAGACGAGAACCAGTTATGAAATTTCCTATGCAGAGTGCAATACCGTTTTTCATATTTCCAACGACGCGCCATTACCGAGGATTCCCAGAGGCATAGTAGAATAATGCGGGGCGAGGCGATTTCAATACAGAGATCGGCCCGGCGGTTTGCGCGGAACCGGATATGCGACGCGTGTCCGGCGGAAAGCGACGAAAAAAAGAGAGAGGGAGAGAGAGAGAGAGAGTGTTGCGTATTGAGCCGCGCTCCCGCAGAAATGAAAATGCCCGACGCGGCACGATAATTGCTCGCGTCCGTCGTGTCGCTTTTGCGAGTTTCCATCGAGGCGCGATCGCAAACGCGATCGGAAACCGCTAACCAATCATCCGGCCAATTTCGTTCAACTGCGGAGCAGCACGGGAAAAATACAACACGCGTACCGCGAGCGCGCCGCTTAAAAAAAAATCAATTTTGTAAAATAATATTAATAGACTTGACCCGAGAGAGGTGAAAAGGGAAGAGGGACGAAGTCTCGGAAAACAAAACCCTCTCTGTGGACAAAACTTCGCTTACGTCGACGGATTACACAAGAGCCACGTAATTAAATATTCATACGCGAAGAAAAAGACGTCTCGCGTTTAACATTTCTGCGATAAATAATATACGTGAATATAAAACGTGATTTTATTTACAAATAGCGGCATCGTAACTTTTATGCAAAATACGCTACCTCGTATAAATGCGAGCGGCGTGTTGCCACGGGAGACGATAAAAATTCAAAACGGCATTGTAACGTAACGTATAATCAAAGATGTTTCGGATTTTAGAATGAAAACGAGCTCTGAAGGGTTCTTTCTGAAAGACCTTCTTGTAGAAGATTTCTAGAAATCCGTGGGAAAAAAATGGACCACATTTTTCTCGACAAATAGGAGACCGCGAGCGAGGGGATTTAAACGTGGCTTAAGCGTTCGAGCGCACGTGCGAAGAAGCATCTCTCCGCGGGAGAGGGTTTGCGGATGCGGTTGCACCGCGTACCTCCGCGAATTTCAGAGTGGCGGAGTGCAGAGCCGCGGCTGCAGCATCGTCGGGATGCATATTGTGGTGTCGCCGCATGCACGCGCGTTTATATCGAACGCGCGCTACGTAACGCGCGGCAACAATCCGGGGAAGCGGCGCGCGCTATATGCGCCGCCGATGTAAGATTTATTTCGGGATTACATACCGTAGTCGTGAGAGAGTCGCGTTTCCGTGCTGCGACGATCGTGTTTGCCGGCGTAATCAGCAGCTCGCGATATGAATATCGCAATACCGCGCCGGCACCATTATAATCCCACGCGCGCGCAACGCGATTGCAGATTCCGTAATGCTGCAATCGCGAAGACGCCGATTCCGTAAATTCCGCATCGCCGAGGAAACCAGCCAGTGTAGATTATCGCGCGAATCTAATTCTCCCCGAAGAGAATTTTCGAAGTTACCGTAACATTGTGCGAACAGTTACATGCGAGCAACTTCGTTACGGCGCCCCGCGTTAGATTAATCTAATACATGCCTCGAATTTTAGACGGGAATAAAAAAAATCTATTAAAAAAAATTTTGTTACGATAAAAATCAGATTTCTCGTTGATTCTCGTTGTACAGTTTAACTTGATATTTCCCATTTGTCATTTATTTATTTTTCAGGATATTACATTGATGTTTCCTTTACAAGTTATTTTTACGTTAATTTATTTCAAGCTTTAAAAACTTTTTTTATCGATATTACGTGAACGCAGAATCCGTTCATACATTTGAAGAAAATTAAGATTTCCCATTGCTTAATTGCTCGTTGTATTAGGTATCCCAAAATGAATTTATCAGATAAATTCTGTCGTAAGTTGCGTTTTCTGCTTCGTCGACGATCTCAGCTCGCGTGCTTACTTCTATTCTCCACATCTTCCATTTCTGCCCGCAGATTCGCGATAACGTGAAAACCAACTACGTGGGACTCATTCAAACCTCGGGAAGCAAACGAGTTGAAATGAAATTCCCCACGATTTCAATTAATGTTGGAAAATCGTAGCTTTTCTATCATCCTACTCAACATTTCTTTTAGTCAAAGAAAATCTTTCTATTCTACAGAGTGTTCGTAATGTTATTTACATAATGCATCGCAGATTGCGACGCATTAATTTAATGAGATGATTAACAATGTCCTGTTAATTATGCTCGAAGAGTGAAATATGAGAAATCTTGTGATCTCCCTTTAATTTTTTTTTTTTAACATTTCACATTTTTTCACATTTTTCCCCCGTCACATTTTCGCTCCGTTTCAATCTTCCATTTTCAGCCGCTGTTCAATCAAGAGGTTGATACAAACCAGTAAAATCATTTGACATGTTTCTCTTCAATTATTCTAGACGGCGGGAAAAAGAGAGACCTGAAAGAACTCTCCCGCTGATTTCTCTGGCGGAAGAGAGCTTTGTGTTTTTCTCGGGCGGCGGAAGCGCTGGAACCGCCGATTTTCACGATATTCGATATCGTGAACTCGCATTTTTATTAAAGTCACGTTAATTAAAAGTCGCCCGCACTCACTCGGAAGAAATAATAATAATAATAATTTTTTCCTCGTTTCGCTTCGAATCGACGCTACACGGGAAATCGAAGAAAAATATTGCGAGAGAAAGCTGGAACCGTCGCGCGGCATAACGCGTCCGTTCGATTTCGCGCGGAAAACGATCGTCGCAACGGAAATCAATGCCATTTTGTTTATTCGACGAGCGGCACTCCCGCGGCTTTCGTTGGTCGTTCCGCCGTGTGTAGTCGCGAGAATAAATTGAATCAACATGCAATTATTATCTCGCGACGCTACGGTAGCATTGCGCCGTACGCGACACTTGTAGTTGTAATTATACGCGATTGCATTGTTACAAATATTCCGGTGGTGCACAAGGTATCCGGGACAACAACCGCGCTTCCTCCCGGCAATAGATGGCTGAAGCCAATACGAGGAGAAATTCATGATTTCACGCGTATGAAAATTTGTTATTAATTATTGTTAATTAAGTAATACATAAATAGGAGAGAACCGCCACGCGCGCGTATAATATATATGTATAATAATTATTCCATCCAGCTACGGATATATCGACATTTCTGACGGAAATTTCAATGCTTTTGATCAAAGTGTTATTATTAATAGTGTCTGCTGAGCGCCATGTTCGTTTACATTTCCTTCACGTCATTAGAAGAGAGCTTTAAATTAGCTCACTTTGATTTATTATTTAAGTAGCCTTATGGGCCAGGAATTACGTTTCGAGAGCCTTCTGCCTCGTTTCTTCTTCATCGAACATTGAAATCCTATTTACTATGCTGTTATAATGTTATCATACTACGCGGATGGAATAGAATAATCAGTTGTTTCATTCACGTTATAAGACTATAATTAATTAAGTTTAAAAGCCACTAACAAAATTATGCATCCGAGTTATGAAATGAAAACAATTCACATGATCAAGTTATTAAATAAGCTTCAAAAGTCGTTATATAATATTAGCTAACAGTAATAAATTTAAAAGCTCTCTCTCAAAGAAATACGTACAATTTCATACGTTTATATTAAATAAAAGCATCCAATAATTCAACATTTATATCGCAAATTTATTGATGATATTTGCGTAATTGTATCTAATTAATTAAAACCGATTCAAGAGTTATTGCAGAAATTCTACATTCTTTCTTCAATAAAATAATTTTAAATAAAATTATTGAAATATATCACGAAATTAAAAATTTGTTATTACAGTAACAATTTATGATAATTTTAATTTATTTAACTAACCTTTTTATTTTTATTTGTCTCTTTGCCATAACTGTTCATTTAGTGAATCTTTTAAACTCAGTTATTCAAAAATGTAGAATTTGAAACATTTTTATTGGACGTACATTTACCGATATGAAATTTTGATCTTTAATTATCGCCTTTTATCATTAGCATCATTATTCAGAAATTAACTACAACAACACACACACACACACACACACACACACACACACACACACACACACACACACACACAAAAGCATGCATACACCCGTACACATTCAGAATCGACGTAGCAATCAATCGCGACTTTCATTATACGAGAAAATCACGCGCGACAAAATTCTGGGGCTAACGTGACACGTTTCCGCTTTGACTCCACTTCACCGAAAATACAGATTTCATTAAATTCTGGCCCGTTAATATCCGTAATATTATTGCGCCGTGTATTGGTATCCACCGGTTCATAAATAACGCTGTGTCAAAGCGACGTTTATAAATTACCGATGATGTCACGCTCCGATGCACTCGCGGCGTTCATTCTTTTTCCGCGATCTCATCCGAATACTGAATACGGGATACACGTTAAATATTTTGACGCAGCGAATTACAAAAGCCGTCATTATTCATCCCGCTATTATTTTACTACAAAAATCGGTTTTGAAAATTCGCATTTCATATCTTAGAAACATATAGTTTTCTTTCTTAAACGCCCATCTTGATTTCGTAAGAAAAATTACCTTTGTACGTTACACATATAATAAAATAATAATATAACCGTAACAGATTAGATAAACTTTTTTATAATAAGAATGTAACAATATCGTAGAATATTTTCCATGTCGTCAACTCTTTGCAGCGATGTTTTAAATCGCAAGTACATTTTAAACTTGTCGCATCTCGTTCAACCGTCGATTTTCAATTCTGATTGCAGTTGCACCCATCGCCAGCCTCAAAATAGGTTCCACTTTGAACCCGAAGAACATCAAGGAGGGCTCCGACGTTTACTTCGAGTGCAACGTTAGAGCGAATCCCAGATTGTACAAACTGACCTGGTTCCACGAGGTAGGCGCTGCATCGACCGCTTCTTTTTTTTTTCTTTCTTTTTGCAAATCGGAACCACCAGCGTATGATCCTCACCGAATGTTTAACGATCCGGGAATATTATTTTACGGCCGATGAGTAGAATTAACATAACGCATTAATATAAATACAGACTGAATTCTAATTACGTATATGATACACGCAACATAAATGCGAAACTCGAATTAATTAAAAAAAATTGTGTACAAATTGCTAAAATGATCTTAATAATTTTGAGATCATATCTGAGTTTTTATATACATATATATAGAGTTTTTCCATTTATTGCCATAATTTATCTCGACACGAATAATTTTAGATAGATAGATAGATCGCAAACAAGGAATCAGTCGAATCGTTATCGAAGGTTATCTGGGTTAGTTACAATTGACCTGCAGGGTATAGGTCAAACATTCCCAACATGGCATGGTCCTTTAACCCGTACTAAATTGCGCAATACATCCTGTCGCTTAATATCGTCATATTCTCCGAACGAAAGTTTCCGCTAACGGAATATAGGCAATAATATAATAAATAATAATCGCTTTGTTAAACTGAAAACATATTATTAATGTAAAACATGAAAGGGTTTAATTAAATAAATCGTATACGCGGAAACAACTGGAGCATTAAACACGTAAGTTTCATATTTCTCTGTACACTTCGTAAAATTATAATTACAAAATGTTAAAATTTCATCTTTTATTTCTCTCTTTCTATTTTTATAAACGAGGAGGCGTCATACGTTCATTAATTTTTTTGAAGTGACGGATTTTAATCTTGTTATTTTCTTGTCTGGAAACAGATGCTTAATTTTAATTATGTGCTTGATTAATCGTCTCCTCGTGTAATGCCAGACGATATTATTTATAAAACAGCGCGACGCGCCGACTCCTGTCGCTAGCTTTTCGAAATTCCGATTATTAACATTCAGCTTTCAACGGTATTAGTTTCAAAGGGACAAAAGTGTGGTGTGGTGAACGGCCGCGCGTATATCTGTTTAGCGACTGCAAATGGCCACGAGGTGGAATTTCGGGGACGACCGATTTTACCAGCTATTTACGCGGATCCTAATGAAATATCCCCTAATTAGTACGCCTATTTCGTCCGACATTAACATTGCGTATCGGGTCCATCCGCCTATGGCGCCATTTCGATGCATGCGGCACTAGTCGAAATAGATTATACGAATCATTGCGCAGCAATGAAGCGACTTGCGAAGCGGACAACTTGATGGTATTAAAGACAAATATTTAAAAAAATCGAGATATTATAAAGAAATTAGAAAAAAAATATTGCGGGTATTCCGTAATCATTGACGGCGACAACGCTGTAAAAAAAAAAGTGAATTTTAAAAAACATAACATTTAAATATCGATTATTCGCAAGAGAGAGAGAGAGAGAGACTCATCTATTTTTTTTCATTCAGTATTTTTACTAATTTAACTTAGCAAAACAAATGTTACTCGCATGAAATTCAAATATCGAAGGAGAATCATTTTGGATGCCCTTTTGCGAGCCAAAAGCGGCATTTTGACGCGTCGCCGGAGAATCTCCGCGGAAACGCTATTTGCTACGAAAGGAATTGCCGAAGTTGGCGCGGAAGGATCCTTAGCCTCCGAATAATCGTGGCGATCAAAGCGAGGCTTCGCTGCGGCGACGCAATTAATTAGATCTGAAGGCGCCCCGGCGCGAGACGATCTACACCCCGGATTAGTCCCCGAGGAGGCTGCGGAGGGAAACACACCCCGAATTTTCCTTCTGCGTCTAGATCCTCCGGAAGGCCTCGCGCTCGTTTAACTCCGAGTATCTCCGAACGGAATTACGTCAGTCTTCATCGTCTCGCATAATTCTGCGCGAACGATCATTCAAGTCGAAACACCGATATACAATTTGCCTCTCCTACCTCGAGGCTGGGAGCTTCAGCCGCGATAACAGACGTAAAGAAAGCTCCGCTTTCTTCAACACGGACGATATTTTCCCGCGGAGGCGATTGTCAAAAGCATGTCGTGCAGCTTCCCTTTATCTTCGGCCACTCAAGGATCGCCATAGTTAAGCTCTTAAACGGGATTACGTCTTCCATCATTCTCCCCGCTTCCTCTTTTTTCCCCCTCTTTATCACTCTGTCGAGATGACGAAATCCTGCGAGCGTTTCCTGTTTTACTCGTAACACGAGTCCTCCCTGGCCTTCTGCGAAAATGTCAAGCAACATAAACTGCATGACGCTCCGTGAAAATTGCATCGCGTTTGGATCAGTAGCGTCTCGTTAGTTAATCCTCGACTGAATACTACGAAGATTATGGATTAGAGCCTTCCTCGAACGGAGCCAATATTCCAAGTAGATTTATAGAATCGCGGTAATATCTTTCCGTCAGATTGCAACTATCGCTCTCGTTCGCGTACGCTGCGAATAAATAATGCAAGCTGAGTGACGTGCAAATATTTTCTGGGAATTGCCCAGCGAGATTGCAACGGAAATTTCCACCGGTAAAGCTTCCCGCTCTTGTCGATTTCGATCGAGCAAGAATTTAGTACGTTAAAAAAAGATGTTTCTATTTCAGTCGAATCATTTTAATACTATCAGTCTCAATGTGATAGAAAGGGCTATTTCCGTGGTATATAAATTCCGTAATAAGAGAGGGCTATTCCGTAGTATAAAAATAAGGTGAAAAAAGGAGAAAATCCAACAAAAGCGCGTCGCGCACGTAATGTTTTCTTAACTCCAAAGAGGCAGATTGACAAATATTAACATAAATGTCTGGGTAAATTTCTCTCGAGGGACCTTCAGAGAAGTTGACAATTTCAGAAAAAGGAGCCATTTTAGGAAGGATGCCATTTAACGCACTGAGGGGAGATCTTTATACAGATCTCGATCAGCCACTTCAAGATTTAACGTAATCTATTTGGACGTAAGGTAAAACACGGAGAGTAACCGATATATGTCGTCGTCTCAGACAGAATGTAGTTCCGGGCGAGTCACTTTCTCTCCTTTTATTTCTCTCCTCCCTTCTTGCTCCTGCATACTCTTTACTTCGGATAATTTCGCGGATCGTTTGTCTCGGTTCCAGCAGCGCGACGCTGTTGCATATTTAAACGAAAAGACGGGCGCGAAAGGAAGAACGTTGACTGTCCTCTTTAAATTTGTAAGAGGCAGGACGGAGGTCCGTACACGGCACAAAGGAGGAGAATCGTCGTCCCTCTCGCACGCGCTTACAGGACGATTTTCTCCCTCGGATAGTCGCGTGCGCCGCCTGAGGGGACGAAAATTTTTCCTTAGAGAGGCAGGATGCCGTAACGCGACTCCGAGGAATTCCAGGCGGAATTTCGCGAATTATTTATCGGCTCGGTGGCACACGCCGGGAACGACGACAACGACGATGCGACGGGGAGGCTCGTGCACGTCTCGGATAAACGATCTGGCGAATCGCGCGAGGAAATCGAAGATGGCACTCGATGTCGTTCGAGCGATATCGAGAGAATATTTTTCTCCTCCCATCGGAAATCCCAGGAAGGAACTTTTAATTTGGGCGGTATTTCATATGGGAAAGGAAGACGAAGTTGAAGACGTAAAGATATTCTTGCTCTCTTCTCTCTCCTCCTCCCTTTTCTCTCCCTTGAAATAATATAAAAAAATAAGAGAACTCTCTTCTGGAGACGAAGAAAATAATTATATATGAGGAGAACCGAGCTCAATGTTTTACCATTCTACCTTTTACCCCCGTCGCATTTTCAAGCGCCAACTTTGATTTGCTTCGTTGCATCTTCTTGGTCGGCAAAATTATTACCGATGTTCAAGTTCTCGAAGGATTTAAGAGTCCGAGCCGCGGTGCGGTGAATTTTCGGGTGGGGAGAGGGGAAGGCGGCGGTGGCGACAGGCGGAAGGAGCAAGTTCGCCGCCATTCGAATGGAATTTTAGAGCAAGGATAATTTGGAATGTCTGCAGCCATTCGTGCGGCCGCGCGAGCGTCGGGGTGCACTCTCGTTGAAATTATTGTAAATTTACGAGCACCCCCGTGCTGTCACACCTCCCGTTCGACGCTCCGCATCCCTGCTCGTCGAACCGAACCGATAAATTGCCCACGAATCACCGGTGGGTCGCCGTTAGTTTACCAATCCGTAAAAACGTCGGTGCGACGAAAATTTTATTGTGAACGAATGACGCGCGCGCGCGCGCGTATATTTGCACGCGAACGCATCGTTCGCCATCGGGCGAAAATTGCGATGACTCGTTCACGATGGCGGGATTCGCTCGTTCGCCGCGTCCTTATCAAAGATTCAAAATTAATCTGGGCTCGACCAGCGCCGAGGTTCGAGGCACGCATATTTATCCAGATTTTTGTTTAACATCGCTTTCGGCATACCTTAAAACCACTCAACGTTCTTTCAATCATCTTTCATCATCAAGTGCTAAGCACTTTCAGATTATGACAAACTATAAGAGATATTTAAAAAAAAAAAGAAGAGAGAAGACAAAAAAATGTAAAAACATATTACAGACTTTGCGACAAAATTTTTTCTTGCTTTATTCTAGTTCCAAATTGCGGGATGAAGTTAGATGTAAATTAATGTAATTAATAATTGAGCTTACTTTATCACGTTGTTTCAATACGATCGCATTTTTCATGAAGCAACAATCGCGCGACGAAAACTCCTTTGATTTATATGGAAAAAAAAAAAGGAAAAACGACAACGAAGAACGGAGTCGTGCAAAACTCGACCAGGTGAGGCTGCGGGCTAGAATATTTTTTTCACCGCGTGCGCAGGACATTTCGTGTGAGTTGAAATCGTGCACGCACAAGCGAATCGTGCAGGTAGACAAGCGTCATCCGGGCGAATGGCGACGATTCGTTCGCGGATCGGTTCGCATCGTCATTTCGTCTGGAAACCGAAAAAGGGTGAGGAAGCACAAATATTTGAACGCACCTTCGGAAAACCGCGCCGATTGATTTCACTTTGTTTCATCCGGGCGCAAAATAACGCACGCGCGATTACATTGATATAACTCGAATTTGTTGGTTTAATACCGACTGTTTAATGTTTCTTGTATAATTTAGCGCCACTGTGACTACAAATGCGGGGCTCGCGCCATACTTTTGATACTCGCACCAATGTTATTGGTTTTAAATGTTTTGCAGTCGCGATTTTGTTCCGGCAGTGAAAAAAAATTTATCGAGAACGTGGTCACGGTGGAAATCCGAAATGATTCGATTTACGATTGGTATTAACGTTTAAACGTTTTATTTCCTCTCTTAAACATCGCGGTTTGATACGCTGGTACTATCACGATCATTATTTCATCTCTCGCTTTATTTGATATTTCACGAAATTTCGTTACATTGTGTTACGGATACCGCGTAAAGGATCCGATCGAGTGGAACATAAATCCGAAATCGGCGGTACATGATTATTATGTTAGCATTCCGGCATGCGTTACATCGCGCGCTATGATACATGTAACATCATTATATCATATTATAGAGACGGCATTTCACGTTTTGCGACGATCGAATGAAAATCGAATCTCCGTCAATTAACGTCGCCGTGCGTATTTTGGGAATTTGAGACTTTGTCCAACGTTAAAAATAATTCGATAACGGTAGATTTTCGTCTCATCGATGGAAATATGATGGAAAATCGTCCGCGCAGAAAAATACGGCAGAATTTTTTTTGCAATCAACGTTTCTTGACTGTTTCTACCTAGGTATAATATAAAATTCTCAAAATGTATCATCGCGTGTTATTTTTTTCAAAATATGTCGTCACTGCACTTACTTTATTTTTCTACCACGTTCTGTGTGTTGTCTATTTTTAAATTGTACGCTATCAAATTGTTATCACAATTCCCATTCTTCGGGAAACCATAAAATCTAAAGTATCCCGCGTGCATCCTTTTAATTTACCATTTTGAATCTCTGCTTCATTTTGACAATAGACTCGATACGAGAAATATCCTCTTCCTATCTTGCGAGTTGAAAAAAAGATTTGACCATTACTTATGCACAATCCGAACCCGGATGGTGGAACTTCGTGACGGGATGTAAGATACGCGATATAAGACGCACGTACCCGTAACGGGGGAGTGCTGTCGCGAGAACGAGGGGGATGGAACTTATCGCCCCTGTCTCGCGCGTGCATTCGGAGGGAGGGTTTCGTGTATATTATACTCGGTGACGCGGATATATTCCGTGCTCGTCCCGGAACGAGGCACGCGTTCGTATCATCCAGTCTCCGACACGGCTACGTATATTTAACGTCTAATACGACGGCGTCGTGTTACGCGAGAATTCACACAGCGTCAGAATAGAGAGAGAGAGAGAGAGAGAGAGAGAGAGAGAGAGAGAGAGATAAAGAAAGTCCTCTTCGTACGCGAATCCCATAGGACGGCGGCCGTGGCACGCCATCCTGGAGGTGGCCGTCGAAATAGGAAATTCCATTTGCGCCGCGAGAGTTTTCGAGATGGAAATAGTTCACGTTCGTTGACAACGCGTTATTCATCGCGGATTATTCGTTGAAAAATACAGATCAGCTATAAAAGGAATGGTAAAGATGTTGATATTATTAAGGGCACTGACTTTTTCACTCGACTACAATATATACGTATATAACGAGAGAGGAGAGAAGCTGGAGTATCATCTTTTGTCTGAGCAAGAGAAGCTGATCCTCTCGCTCAGCGGCTCTTGAATCTAATTTGTATTCTAAATTTCTAAATTTAGACTCTTGTATAATCTCTCCGGTCCGGTGTGCCCGAAATCTTCTAATTATGCCGAACTGCAGAGAAATTTTCTTCGTTCGCGCCGAATCTAATGCGCGGCGTCTTTAAACCATGTTTAAAATCAGCTCAGTTTCTCGCAGACGCTTAAAGCTTAAGACACCCGGGGTAATCGCATGAATGCGCATTGCCCGCCGCGCGTTACACGGCGATATCTACCGTCTCCCGTGAAGACGTATCGTTTCCCGATCCGTGCAGCGACGCCTCGCCGTTGCAGGCGCCCGACGCGCCTCGGCACGTACCAGTTTTCGCGGAGAATGCCGAGGAGAAATAGATACGGAGCTCGTTACTCATCTAAAACAAGCGCGGCGAGACGTACCTCGCGCGAACTACCCTCTTCCCTCGTGGTCTCGTTCCCGTATATCCGCCTTCCCTCGGCATTGTTTCCCCTCGACCCGGTTTCGTTCGAATCTTATCCACGTACATCGGTCTCGCGACTCGCAGATGCAATTCTCTGCAAACATTGTTGGAAATATATATAATATAATCCAACTCTTTTTGCATTAATTTCGATATTTATATATATATATATAAAAAAAA